GTGGAAACTACTGCCAAGGATATGGAGCAACTCCACATTGGAGGTCTCAGTTTGGCAAGCTGAGTGTGGAAGATGGAGGGTCGAGCCTCTGGAGACCTTGTCTGAGGGGCAAGCAGTGTGTGCGCTGGGTAGGATCTCCTGGAAATTTAAAAAAGGAAGATCATCTCTGACACCCTGATTGTGTGGAAGAGAGTTTGACTGGAGAGAAAGAGTATTTAGGAAATCCATATTATGCACACCCATAAGAAATCATGCCAGTGGTCCCTTCTTTACAAGCCCTTTCAAGCTCAGTAGAAGGCCGGAAAAAAACAGGAAAAGGTTCCTCCTGCAGCCTAAATTCCCTGTTGTCTGTCCTCTCCCCCATTACTTCTTTTCATCCTTAGATTTCTTATGGGATAAAGTATGACAAAACATGGCTAATGAACTCAATCCAGAGCCATTGCACTGTCCCATTCACTGCAGTGGACGTAAGAAAGGATGCCGAAGCCAGACGCGTGGGAACAGGGAAGATGAAGAGAGAGACCTGGTTCAGCAGGGTCTGTTGGCTTCTGATACTATTGCTGTTGCATTCAATCCCTGTAGTTCCACGTTATGCAAAGTGGGGCTCGGTTCTTTGTCCAGGAAGCTAGCACTGCCTCTGCACTGATGGATGTCAGCTACAAGAATTGTGACGAGGAGAGCCGAAAGGTGTGTGTCGAGGGCGTTACATGTACCTAATCCTGAGGAAGGAGTACAGGCAAGGGGCTAGTTGTCTTCTTTGGAACTAGAGTTCCTGGTGCTTACCCCACCTCTTCCTGCAGATACCTGTCTTTGTCAGCCCCTCCGCTGTTCCCTACTCTGTGTGGTATAAGTTGAAGTCAGAAGAAATGGAGCAGCTAAAGGTAATGCAGAATCAAGGCATGTTGTGTGCAAGTGCTCAGACCCACCTCTCCTTCCTCCAGCCCCCTGTCCTCCTCACCCCCGATTTCCTTGCCACCACCACAGCCTCAGAGCGGCTCTCTCCATCTCTCTCTCCGCAGCTGACCTTGAGCAAATGATTTGATGTCTCCCAGGAAGCTCTTGACCTCCAGAGGCTCCGCCTTGACCCAGGTATGGCTGACAGCAGTAATTCTAGGGCGGGCGAGGGCAGAGGGGTCTTCCTGGAGGGAGACTTAGGGATGGTAACGTGGGAAGGGGCTAGTGCTGGCCCCACACCCCACTCAGCCATCTGATTCCCTCCCCTCTCCTTCCTGAAGACTTGGTGTGCCATGATATTGATATAATTCTGAATCGAAGAAGCTGCATGGCTGCCACCCTGCAGGTCATCGAAAAGAATTTCCCTGAGGTGAGGCTGTAGGCCCAGGGGACGGTGATTACTCAAGGAAGTGGCCAGGGAGGCCATGTGCGGGAGGCCAGCTGTGGGAGGCCGGGCCAGGGGAGGGCGTGCGAATACAGACCCTCTACCCTGCCTGCGGCCTTACTCCTCCCGCTGCCTGCTCCCACCGTCTGTGAGCTTCTCGGCAGAGGCCTGGGGCCCCCCTGGCTGCAGAGGCTCCCGGAACCCCGTGACTGCAGCTGAGGCCGGCGACATGAAGGGGAGGGAGTCCCGTCCTCCTTAGGAGGAAGCCCGCAGAGAAGGTCCAAAACCAAGAAAAACTAAAAGTACGTAACGAAGTTACAGAAGAAATCATCAGCTAGAGAGTCAGGATGGCTGTGGCTGGAGAGAGGAAGGCTCTGCCCTTGCACCCACCTCTGCTCCCCACCTCCCACACAGCCCCCGGGCAGCCAACGCCCAGCCCAGAACTGCCCTTCTCAACCCAAGCCCAAGCCTCCGGAAGCACAGGCAAAGGAGGACCGAAGGCACAGAACGAGACGCAGACGCGGTGAGGACAGGGGTGCGGCCATCCTCGGATGTGGGCGCCACACTCAGCCCAGGAGGCCACCCATCTGTTGGCTAAAAGCACCTAAACCAGAAACTGTTTTAAGCTACAGCTGGTGTCTGGGCCACTTTATCAAGCACTTGAGACACAGAGCTGATTATTTTTCTGGCAACAGCGAAAACAGAAAGGTTGAAAGCACAGAGTCTGTCACCAGCTGTTTCCAGAGCGGTTCTTACAGTCACGTCTGGGTTGGGGCCAGAGACGGCAGAGAGGTCCACTCGGGAGGCCTGCTGCGGTTGGTCTTGTTCTTTCATTCCCCTCTTGCATTTCGCTGCCTTGAGTCACGCAGAGTAAAACCCCTTGCACAGCATCTTTCAGTGCTTTAGATGCTATTTGCAAAAGAGCCCCTTAAAAAGGGACTTGGGTTAAAAGAAACGTGTGTGTGCTGTGGTCTTGACTCATGGTCGCTGCCCCCTTACTTGGATCTGGATTCCCACATCAGCTCTCTCCTCACTGGCCTGCTGCGTGGCTGTAGCCAACCTCTTCAGCCCATCCCGAGCCCCAGTTCCTCACCTGTGACACCCGAGGGGCTGTGGAGCTTTCCGAGCGTCAAGCACAGAGCCTGGCACGTAGAAGGTGCCCAACAAATGGGACATGATTAAGATCTGACTGGTTCTCATGGCTCATACCACCCTTTCCCTAACATCATCAACACCCATGGATGTGGGATCATGGGTGATTTTTATTTTCTTCTTCCTGTGCTGTTTTCCAAAATCGGGACAAGAAAATTCACATCGCAATAACTATAAATACTTTATAACAAAAATCATTACCTACTAAAATGTTAGAGAGTGAAAACGCTTGCGCTATTCTTATATGATAGGAGTCCATCCCAGGACCAGAGGTCTCCCTCTGCTACATCAGGGATCTGAAAACAGTTTTCAGGACCACTGCCAAAGCCAGCCGGACAAAGGCTGCCCCCACCCGCCTCTCCTGTCAAAGGATTCCAAACTCAGTCCCCATTCCTATGGTCCCCATTGCCCTAAACCAGGACCACACCGGGCCCCGTTCCGAAAGTGGCCCAGCGAGAAACTGGCCAGTGACCTGTGGCTTCTGCAAGCTGGGCTAACAGGGCTCCTGGGGGTCTTGTGAGCGATTCACTGGGAGACGGGGCGAGTGAGCTGAGCGCTGAGGAGTGAGAGGGTGTGAGATACAACCCATGTAGAGGCAGCTGCCAGAGGCTGGTGCAGGCCTGAGTGGGCTGGTCGAGGGGTGGAAGGGGGCGCGGGCAGGCAGGGCCCCAGGCTGGGGCAGGAAGAAGGCCGGTACAGACCACCAGCTGCTCCAGCATGGGCTCAGCACATCCAGCCCGAGCACAGCCGTTTGGAGCTGGTTTCCAGCCCCAGGTCTGCAGACCTGAGGGTGGACACAAAGCGCCCCAGTGCAAGTGGGGCCTGGTGACTGGCCAACCTTTGATGTCCCTCCAGGCCACAACTGGCCAGGTTCTCAGATTTGTTTATTTTTCCTGTATAACTTTTGCAATGCTTCAACTAAACAGAAACTTTTTATCAACCATTCCCAGAGCAAGAAAAATAGCCAAATGCTTGGTTTGTAATGGAAGCTGGTAGCTGTGCTGGGCTGGGGGACACATGAGAAAAGCTCCCACTTTGAGGGATTCGGAACCCACAAGGGAACTGCATCTGCTGCCGATACGGGGACCCTGTGCCCCGTCCACCAACTGCTCACAGAGCTGCTCTCCTCCGAGGTCCTCATCCCCCGGCTCCGTCTCTCTGTTTACTTGGCAGGAACCCCAGGCCAAGTGCCAGGCACAGGCTGGGCCCAGATCCAGCCACTCAGTCTCTGCTGCGTCTTCTGCCGGGGGCACTGACTCGGCAGCGAGAAAGCTGAGCCCAGAGCCACGGGCAGGTCCGCAACCTTGCAGGAGGCAGCCAGCCTGAGAAACAAGCGGGCACGAGGGACATGGCCCAAGAGATGGGGGGCCCTGGATCCAGCTGTGCCTAAACCCAGCCCACAAATCATGCTGGTTGTAAGAAGCAGTTTGGGATGAATTTCTGTCCTTTACTAATGAAGATTACGTACTAACATGCTTTAACAATTCTACTCAACTCAAGTGTCCTGATTTTAGTGCCTTCATGGCATTTTCCAAGCAACTAAACTGACTGCTTACACACATGATCTCACCTGAACCACCAACACTGTGCAGTGCGCATCATGGCTACCCTTACTTCACAGACAAGGCCGAGGAATTATTCACTTCCGCTGTCGCTGTCGCAATCATCATCGTTTCACCCAAAGTCACACAGATATTAGGCTGTGCAGCCGGGATCCAGATTCACAGCCTCTGAATCCAAAACCTACACTCCTCCCCCCCAGGAAGGCCCCGCTGCCTTGGTGTGCACAGTCCTGTCCTAAATGCAGGCAGAGACACAAAGGCCGTGGGCCTCACCCCTCACATCAAGGGCTTGCAGTCACCTGGAAATTGGACATAAGACCATGAGCCCACTAAGGATGCAGAAAGCCAGAACACAGCTAAGAGTCCAAGTGTGAGGTCCAGGCACCATCCACACGGCAGGGAGGTGAGATGGCTCAGAGGCCACATGTCAGAGTTGGAGGCTGGTGCAGAGTCTCCCCATCACTGTGACCTCAGCGACCCAGGGCCGCACCTTCAGGTTCAGTCCTCCACCAGCCGCTGGGACTCCCCCACTCCCCCTTCAACCAAGGTTTCCTCAGATGTGTGACTGTGCTGTCACAGCCTACCCCCAAGACTGCGGAGGTGCTCCCTCTTACCCATACTCCTTCTTCAAAAGTACCTTAATTATAGCTATCAGGTGACAGAGCACGGCAATTTCCAGTTTCCCTCCTGGAAACAAAGAGACCTCAAGAATTCTACAATCCTGCATCACTTAGTTAATACTCTGGTGTCAACTGATGGCCTCTGGGTCTGTACTAGGTCACTTTCCATTGAGTAATTATCTTCCACGGTGGCTGCAAATAGTCACTGAAGGAACTGTGCCTCAGTGACTGAGACAAAGTTTTTAGTTCAGCTGTCTTATTTTATGTAACTGAGGAAACTGAAACTTTAAAAGTCTCGTATCATATTTCGAACCGACTTGCATTGTATTAGTGACGTGTCACTGAATGATTTTCCTTAGTTCAAGAATTTTTCTTATGAAATCATAATATAATATTAAAGATGCTCCAGAAAAGAAAAGTCAGCAAGGACTCCAAAAGGACCTGAAGGCAAGTCCCGCCACACAGCGGCTCCTCCAGCGTCGCTCGCTCCTGTGCCACCGTCACAAAGGCTGCTGCACCCACCACACTTCCTGGCCTCACTGTCATCTCTTGAGGCCTCTGCCCAAGGAGCTCATTTCTAGTGAGAGGACAAAGGCAACACACCCCAGAGACTTGCTTCCACAGAACCTTCCCCAAGCTGCCACCCACTTTCCAGGGAAATTGAGGTGAAATGACAGTTGAGTCCTACACTGCAAGAAGGCGGGAGGGAGCTGGAGGAAGGAAAATGGAGCGAGGAGGGGCCGCCACCTGTAGGTACTGTTTTCTAAGGCTCTTACTCAGGTTGAACAAGTTTGAGGTTTTAAAATGAAGCAAGAAACTCTGAATTATAGAAATAAATGTACTCTACTCTCATGCTGATGTTCAAAGATGCCATTTTCTTGAACTGGAGCCCCGGAGGGCCCTCTGCGATGTTGGCAGAGCCCAGGCTGCTGGTGCAGGCTCCTGGCTGCCCGCCCTCCACCCTCCCTCCAACCCCAGCTGCCTCCTACGGGTGGGCTTCCGGGGAGGCAGGAAAAGCCTTCTCTAGAGCCGACTCCCTTCTGTCCGCTGACCAGGCACCGGGGTGTGGCAGGCAATGCTGCACGCCCAGTCCCCGCTCTGCTCCTGGTGCCTTGGCTCCTGGCCTGTCACCCAGAGATCACCCCTTCCTCTGAAGACTGACAAAGGCAAGGATAATTTTTCAAGGCTGGTGGATGGTCAAAGGAGTCCAAGCAAGCTGACTGCATGGGTAACTTCCGCCTCCCTGGAGCCTGAGGGGACCGCTAACACAGGTTTACAGATACCACCTGGGGACCAGAAGGAAAAGAAGACTCTGCCTAGGCTCTCCAGGCAGCCCCTTCCAGAGAGCTGCTCCAGAATGCATCCCACGACCCAGCTCCACATCCTGAGAGGAACACGGGACATGACACCAAGCACCAGAGTGCCCTGTGCTCTGTACGTACCCCTACGTCTTCAGCAGGGTTCTGAATACCAACATGCTTTGCACTGTAAGACACGTGGAATCACTATGTTAACTTGAAAAGGAGGACAAAGGTATGGTCCAAGTGGGTTGGTGCCCTTGGTACCCCGCACCCAGAGTGTCCCAAGGTTGGTACGTTCACAAGCAGAACAGTTTTTAAGAGCCGTGTGCCTGTCATGCAGCTCATCTCCCAACTCCAGGAAGGCCCTGCCTACAGACGGTCGTCCCAGTCGCACAAATTAAGCCAGATCTGTGGGATGAGACTCAGAGTAAATTAGGTCCAAGAATAAGCCTCTGGAAAAGCAAGAGTTTCATAAAAATGGCAACATATGCTCGGCCTTCTCCGGCATTAGTGAATGTGGGAGAGGCTGAAGGCTGCTTAATGGTCTAATAAAATGTTTACAGGTGAAGGTTCTTACAGACAAAGACTGCTTGAGATCAGCACACCCTGTGCTGGGGTCCGGCGACCCTTTCATCAGGGAGATTTCACTGCAATGGCAGGAACGCACCCCACCCACAACCCGTCGGCAGGGGTCCCGCCTCTGCTCTCCCCTCTCTGGGCCCGCAGCCCTGAGGAGGGGGCTTTGCGTCTGTCCCCGTGGCCGGGAGCTCCCACGGGGCAGGGGTCTCTCCTGGCCCATAGGAGGGAGGGCCCACATGCTGGGTGCAGACAAGTGCACGGACCAGTGACCAGGTCAGCAAATGAACAGACAGGGACAAACGCTGAACTGGAACCGCCGAAGAGCCCTGTGAACAAGGTGAACAAAGGTCAGGTGGACGCCAGCTCATGGTAGATACAAACACTACTAACTCAGGTGGATCGAAGGCCTCAATATAAGAGCTAAAGCCATAAAGCTTTTAGAAGGAAACAGAGCAGGATGCCTTCACGACTTGGAACAGGCAAAGATCTCTTAAGCAGGTCACAGAAAGTGAAAACCATTAGAGAAAAAAATGAACAATGAAGCTTCATCAAAATTAAAAATGTCTGCTGGACTTCCCTGGCACTCCAGTGGTTAACACTCTGAGCTTCCACTGCGGGGGGCACAGGTTTGATCCCTGGGCGGGGAACTAAGATCCCGCTTGCTGCACATCTCAGCCAAAATACAAAACAAAACAAAAAAACTAAAACGTCTGCTTATCAAAAGACATCAAGAAAACAAACAGGCAAAGCCACAGATCGTGACAGAATATTTACAAAACATACATCTGACAAAGAACTGGTAAACAGATTCACAGAGAACTTCTATAATTTTTTAAAAATTCTAAACCCAATTAAAAATGGGCAAAAGAGGGACTTCCCTGGTGGCCCAGTGGCTAAGACTCCATGTTCCCAATGCAGGGGCCCTGGGTTCAATCCCTGGTCGGGGAACTAGATCCCACATGCTGCAACTAAAGATCCTGCATGCGGCAACGAAGATCCCGTGTGCCGCAACTAAGACCCGGTGTGGCCAAATAAATAAATATATATATTTTAAATGGGAAAAAGATTTGAAAGATGTTACATAGAATAAGATATACAGATAGCAATAAACATATTAAAGAGTAGTCAACATTATTACAGGCATACCTCAGAGATATTGCAGGTTTGGTTCCAGAACACGTCAATAAAGCAAATATCACAATAAAGTGAATCACATGAATTCTTTGGTTTCCCAGTGTGTAAAAGGTTATGTTTACAGTATACTGTAGTCTATTAAGTGTGCAATTGCATTATGTCTAAAAAGACAATGTACGACCTTAATTTAAAAATATGCTAAAAAACCCTGACCATCACCTGAGCCTCGGCCAGCTGTAGCCCTTCTGCTGGTGCAGGTTCTCGCCTCCAGTGCTGGCAGCCGCTGACTGATCAGGATGAAGGCTGCTGAGGCTGGGATGGCTGCGGCCATTTCTGAGAACAAAGGCACCATGAAGTTCGCTGCACTGATGGACTCTTCCTTTCATGAATGATTTCCCTGGAGCAGCAATGCTGTTTGGCAGCATTTTACCCACAGAA